ACGGCTGCGGGCTGCTGAGGAATTTGGAGGGGGGGGGGGCGTCTGTGCACGGGCGTCCGCTAGGGATACGCGTGAATGTGCCTACACGTGCCAACGCAAAGAACAGAATGACAGAGGAAAGAGACCATAAATCATTTTCTGTGTCTTTGCCCGTTTCAGTTTCATATTCATGGCCAGACAGTATCATAAATGATATGACAGTTTCATTTTTGTTCGGTTCGCTTTTTTAATTGAAACATAAGACGTGCGTGTGTATTAGCACGTTAAATGAAGTCGACGATTGTTTTTAATCTTTCCTTAGGGCCTACTTCACTCTGGACAAAAACTCTCGGGGAATAACTGGCGAGTTGAGAGCTACTTTCACCACGACCAGCCTCGTATTTGGATACACCGTTTTACGGTCTATTTGGCAGCTGTCTGAGAACTCAGACAGAAAATGTGAAAAGAATTTGGACAATCTTTTGCATTGACTTTCGTGAATCATCACCCAAACTACAACGCATTAAATGTGACACGGGAAAGATTTATTTTTCCTTTTTACCTCTGCAAAGTCTAGGTCAACCTTTACAGGAATATTGTTCATATTTTTATATGCCTGTGTTCATTTGCATATGTCATGTTTATGCATATCTCATCTTACAGGCGTTAGGCAAACCTGTTTTCCCCCAATTTAGGGGTTGTACATAACGCTTCGAGGGCTGTAGACAAGTGACCTGCGTTCGTATTTCATTCTCATGCAAGTTGAATCCATTGCTTGGCCACAAGTCAGTTTGCATTCAGTGTATAGTTGAAGATCTATTCAACAGTGCGATCAAATGTTCAAAAGAGAGCTGGCTGTGCCGGGTAAACCGCCGGACTTGTTTATAAAGTAGCTGGATATACCTGAATGAAAAACGCGAAAGCCTAATATTATTTGCAGGCTATGCTTTCCTTGTTTAGACCAGCAGTCGACGAAAGTGGCTACAATGCCATTGTCTGCGGCTTTGAATGGTTGGCGTTTCGACATCAAGGTTCTGTAGGCAAAGGGCAAAATCCTTGGCGGCCAAAAGAAAACTGTACAAAAGGTATTGAATATTAAAAAGAAAGATAGGGGGAAACCCTACCATTATGGATGCGATGACACGGTGTGTTATTTTTATATACACGACACAAGGTTTATGAGGAGTTGTTAACGGAAGTAAACTGCAGCAGTTCCGCTTGTGGATCAAACTATAGGTGTTGAAATTGCCTTTCTGATATTCCAAAGACTTTGTATAAACATGTAGATAACAGGCTATACTTTCCTGTGATTCGAAGCCAGGTACTTCCTCCCTTTCCGCTGATTTTCAAATATTTTTACGAGGTACAGAAGGTTGTATATGTAACTGATAATACATTTCAGATATCGAAAAAGCAGTGTGAGAGTTGAAAGGGCCTATGTGTTGAATATTGGTAAGCACGAACTTCCAACACTTTGCCTGAAGAAATCAATCCCCAGAACGTAAGGTGAAGTGAAATTTAACTGGCCGTCATGAATTGTTGGCCGAACCTGACCTTTAAGCCAAAGTAACCAGATTATGCTCGCCCTTAGCGCTAGCGATTCGTCTGGTGGTGGTTCGTGTCGCTGAATGAACTACTGGACGGTCTTGGAACCAAGACTACCCTAGCGCAAGCATGCACGTACTGGTCTGTTAGGTCTGTGCATCTTGTAGCTAGACGGAAACAAAGAATGCAACCATATGAAACACTAACTGTTATGACATTAATATATCTCCCAAGTTGAAAAATATAAACCTTGACTGACGGCAGCTTTTTAGACTGTACACCATTCATTTGAACTTAATATCGGCACTGTAGTCTACTTTTCCGACAGCAACCCACTGCACTCGGACATGCTGCCTTATGTACCTGGAATAGAAGTATACATTAAACGTGGGGGACGAGAATAGTTTTGATTTCTTTTTTAAATCCATATAAAATGAGTCATCACTTTCAGTTGCCTGCTGGGGTCATGCATTGTAACTCGAAGAAAGCCCGCACCTTGGTCGTGAATTCGCAGAAAGCAGCTAGTCGGAGTGTTATAGACATTATCTCCAAATTACATTTGCATTGGAGATTGTGCGACAGGGAAACCTCAACGACTTGCCGTGTCTAGAAATAAGCACCCAAAATGTATTCATAATCGGCGCGCTCTGTACTCAGCTTGAATACCTGCCAAGTGCCCTCCAGTCCAGTTATGACTTGCAGGGGAAGCACGTGTTAGTGGTATGACAAACACGTGAAAAACACCATCTCACACTTGTTGCCCAAGTGCTTGGTACCGGTAACTCATATCTCTTAGGTTTAACAAGTTTAACGAAAGCAGTGGTCATATTTCGTGCGTCTAATAGTAATAGTTTAAAGTGGTTTCGATCTGAAAATATCCCTTTAAAATAAGAATCTTTGGTTGGCTTGGAAAGCGTACGTATCCTTCTCAACATCTGGTGCCTACTTGAAACAACATCAGGTACACAGGTTAGACAGTGATATTCTCCCATGAGTAGCTACGGAAATTGCGCGTTGACTCCGTCATCTTCAGCCGGTGAGTCCTATGGGTCTTCATATGTTAATTAATGAGCGTGTCTTGCACGCCGAAAGACATGGTTCGCCGGGCAAGCGCGCTTTGTGCCGTATGATGAATGCGATGTGATGAGACAATGACCTGTGCATGAGTCTGTGACTTCAAAAGAGAGACTGGCCACAGATCCCGCGAGGTTTTTTAAGAACGGGCGAGAATTAAGGATTTACTGGTGATGAGCAATTGATCTCTGCATTGAATTGCGATATTAACACAAAGCCAGTATATTTGAAAAATTAGCACGCTTTTGGGTTACTACTACTTAGGTCTGTAAGCTGTCAGTAAAAAAAAATCTTAGCAACCTACAGACAAGCTTGCCAGTGATGCCCTTTCTTTCAACCTAGCGTCGTAGGGGCACATTTTGTGAATAATTATGGGCGATGCACAATAGTGCGCCACCAAGAGTTTGTAACGCGATGACCAATCCCAGTGCGCGAGATTTGTCGACTCATTCCAAACGCGCATTGGGACGACAGATTTCGCACACTGTGATTGGTCAAAGTGTTACAAACTCTTTGAGGCGTACTATTATGAAACGCCTGCATTGTGGCAACTGTCTTGACGCATTCAGCCGCGATAAAACTTCATAATCACTAGATGCTAGAATTACTGACAGCCTATGTAAGATTCTTCTCGCGTGCTTCGATGTTGGTGCAGTAATCTGGGAATTTAAAGAAGCTTTTCAGAGTTCACTAAGAAAAGCTTTACAAAGTGCGCTTTCTTGATATCAGTCAATCATTTTGTTCATCGACCATGCTAACCTTCGTACTCACACCCACCGAGTTGCATATACAGGAATTTTGCAATAAATTTGAGTAAATGGGTCTCGTTTGCTCCAGTGTTCATGGAGTTCTGAATGAGTTGGAATATTTTATGAAACTACCTCTACGGTTTATGGTATACCTTGATGCCGCGCAGTGGAGCACAAATACTTCGCTCTGGGATGTACAAAACGCAAATAAACATTCTTGGGTCGCTCGCTGGAATACCCGCCGCCTTCGGTCATATTTCACGCCATTTTTACATGGATGAAGTAATTGTCATTATTCACATCCGAGTTTTGCCAACAGTTTGCGTTCATATCAAAGAGAATCAGACCGGGGAAATATCAAATTTATGGAATGAAATACGTTTCAGCCCCTCTTAGAAAGTGGGTCGGACGACAATTTATGGCCGATAAATTGCAAATCCTTGGACTGTGAACCAGAGAGCGGAAGAGCATTTCCCGCGGCTTTTCTTTGCTGTATTAAAACCTACCCTTTGAACGATGAATTAAGAGGGGCACTACTTTGTCAAGACATTTGTAAGAGAAAGGATTATCCGGAGTTTAGTGTTCAATTAAAGAATGTCACTTTCCCTTCAAGGACCACTAATCGATGAATAACCCGAGTGACAAAAATGCATTTCACCCTCTTACAATCGGGAAACCGTTATTACCACTCACCTTCTTGCGCAAAGCAGCTTCAACGTAATTATTGACCGTACCATCGGTTATTTCACCACCTTTTGAGCACTCTTTGGATTAGAGTCTGAATCAGTTGCCCGTCCCTTTCCTGGAAAGCAATCAGCTCTTGCAATTTTTGAAAATAATGATTGGGGGTGTAATTAATTGACAAAGCCTGCCACAGTGTGCGGTATTGCAGCACGATAGTGATTACCATCACAGTGGCAACATTTGAAAAGTCGAAGGAAACAGTTTCGAAGGGAGGAGGGGTGGCAGGCCACACTGTGAACAAAAACTTGTCATTTTGACTAATAAAATTTAGTCCAGATTTTTGTCTATAATGACCAATTTAAATTAGTCAGATAGGCCAAAGACTAACATGTATCAGTCAAATTTAAGATAAGTCAAATATTAGTCAGATTTGGTCATTGAAGTCAGTCACTATTGATTAATAATGAGTTCTGTCTTGAATTAAGAAGTCATCGAGACCCAACTAACGTATGTCAGTGTAATGGTGAGGGGTCAAAGGTAAGGGAGTTTTGTTTGGGGAGACTTCTTTTGGGCCTGTTTGTTTCACACGGATCTCGATCAGTGATCCTAACGCTGGTTCGCACCATCCACTACGCGGAGTTTGGTGTCCGTAAACAGGCGACAGATTGCTGATCGTGATTCACCCCAGATCCGTGTGAAACAAACACGGTTTTTGAAACTAAGAGTAACTTTGCATTGACAGCAAATCTTTGTGGTTGTTTTTTAAAACTCCATCACGTTGCAACCTGCCAATCTGAACCACCACTGCCCCCCCCACACCCGGCTGAGATGAGCTGAAATTTTCAGATGAACATTGCCTTTGCAATTGTCGGCTTATTTCTTCTGGACAGTTCCTCTTCGCACAGAATGAGTGCAACATAACAATATGATTGACTTCTCAAATAATTTTACAGTCGGCGATGTTTTTTTTGCTGATACTTCCTTCTCCTGGGGTTTTTGCGGAAATGCCCCGACCAGAATTTTTTCCCATACCTGAATAGGTCCCACAAAAAGGCGACAATACTTTTTTATGAGCTCACCGGTAAAATCCCCGCATATCTACCTGCTTTGAAGGGCTGTAAAAAAGTCACGGTTGATTAACCACACTGTTTGCTTCGCAGTGATGCCTAAGTCACGAACAGATATTTTGCGGTCACTGAGCGAAATGGAGTGGAGGGTTGGTTGGCCAATAGCTCGGTGCGCCATAAGCAGACGATGCGTGGCAAAGCTGCCCCCCCCGCCTCTTTTGTGTCTTTTTCTGTGTCGTGGGAGTCTTGCAAATTCCTTTCAGATTTTCAGGGGATCCAGTATAGGTACAATACCTTTACCACAGCAATACGCGGGGCACCTGTAACGCAAAGCTCGCTCGATACATTTGGTATTTACGAAAGCCGCCCACTAAAATCAAGCATGAAATTTTTACTTGCACACGAAGCTTTGCTATCACACCAACAACCCTAACTTACCTGCTGATGAAAACTGATATGTTTGGCACATTTTGTTATTCAAGACATCTAAACAATCAGAAGCATGTATGTAAGTTTGCCGTGAGACGAGAATGGATTAACGAAGTTTTTTGGCATTGATTTAGTCTGTGATATTGAGTGAAATTAAGTTAAGTTGAAATGTATAGTCGAGAAGAGGTGACTTGTATTACATGTGCACAGTTAGGCAAGACGACAATGTTATGGCCGCCCACAGATGGTTTATTTTTATTTTTGACTTTTGTATGGATTGTCCAGTCAATAATTCATAGTGTCTGTCTGATAAGAGGTTTGTTTTCTGTGCACCGCACAGGCTTGCTTGCGTTGTGGGGTTTTATTGCTTGTTTTCGTCTTGACCGGTGCGTCGTGCCAGAACCAGGATGCCAATGACGTCATCGTTGCGTCAGGCCTGGGCGAAAACATCCCGTCTGCGGAAGAAGTAATCGCCGAGATTGGAAACGTGACTGATGGTAACGGTGAGTCGATCTACGATATGATACACGTGCGATTAAGGGTATCACATTTAGGCCTTTTGGGTGGAGAATTACTCCTGCACTATATGTATTTTGCTGAATCCATGACCACATCTCACTTGCTTGCACTATGCTGCAGCGTGCATGGAGGCGTTACTGGATTTACAGCTAAGTGTCAAATAAGCTTTTGGAAGCAGACGTGCATTTCAAAATGTATCATTTGTTGGCATCAGTAAATATAATTTAAGTCTGCACACTGATAAATGGAATTAGGCACTTTTAGTAATGCGGCGGGATGGGATCAGTCTATAGGTTGGTTATTAGGGAGGCGAATGATTGAGGATGAATCTGTTTCCTTAATTATGCACTGCTTCATCATCAGCCACGAGTCTCGTGCCCCTGTATATTATTAATTTAGTTGTCACCCACGACCATGCACTTAATCACACAAATTTAATGAGTCACGGAGACCACATTAATATAAAACCTTATTACATAAGTTCAAGATCTAGATCTCTAAATTTAGCATAATTTATCAGATGAATGTAGAATTTTGAAATTAAGAAGCAGGTTTCGAATTTGCTGATTTTGTTTCATTTTGGCCAAAAGTGGATTACAATAACATGTCCATTTTTTTCCTGATTTCAAAATAATCGAACTAAAAGGTAATTCATAAGAAGACGATCTTTCATCGAACACTTATGTTAGTAGCCCTTGAATGCATTCGATCTTTTTTTCTTTTTTTTAGCCAAGATTTGTATTTTTTACCAACTGTCTCTCCTTCGAGGCTAAACATCTCTGAGAAACATAGAATTAAAAAGGACGCCATTTCATTCGTCGAGAAGGTGCTAACAACAGATGGGCTTGCTTTGTCCGTCCCCTATACTTGCCAAGTTCATCAAGCGCTATCCTGCATTTGTGAGCTGATTTAATTAATCAAAAAGCGTTGACAGAGAAGCGAAAATAAACGAACCCGCTTCCACGACGGACGAGCACAAGAGGGCTCACTCTGGCAGGTTCACAGAGAGCTGTTTAGAGAGTTGCAACACGAGTGTCTCAGTTGTGTTGGTACCAAAATGGTGGATTAGGCGTCAGCGCAAGTGGACAGTGTTAGCGCCCAGCATGCTGCACTGCGCACACGAAGAACTACCCTTTTGGTACCAAAGTCTGAAGTTGGCGTATACAGTCTCTATATACTGCCCTGGGTTCAAGTACGGGCGGCACTATAAAATTGGAGCAGCAGGCTGGGTTCCAAAGTTTTGGCCATGACTTGCAGTGACGCACGCATCCTTAGGAAGTACAGACAGCCGCTGGCCGACGGCATCTTTATGTGTGTACCGATAAATGTGATATTGCTGACCGTATCGAAGACATTAAAAACAACCTTAAGCATCTCTTCAGCAAGAAACGCGTGGGATGCTATTTGTAAGCGATCCATGTATTTTTTATGTATTCATTTAAGTTACTGCTGGTGTGCACAGTAACTTGAAGTTTGTAAAAGATGCAACTCTCTCATGAGACATGAGTATCGTCAACTGTAACAGTTTAAAAATGCGTCCCTTCCATGCTTAAAACAATCGGAACCCGATTCGATCTGGCCTCAATAGGAGTAGGCCTATGCTATGTTCGACCAATTTCTTGATTTTCTTCAAATCGAAAATGCAGATAGCTTCTGCCGAGGCTTCTCGTCCGACGAAAATCCATTCCGTGAAAATCTAACATGGCTCACGACACATGCCGGAGGAACAGCTTCTGCGGTTCTGAAAGACAGTATATGCGGCGCTATAGGTAGGTCGATGATTAATGTGTTAACAGTTCATTTGAAAAACAAGTCTGGATTGATGAAGTTCGATCGAAACTGTGCCACCTTCAGGCCAGCAAAAAGGCTTACATGTTTACACCCTACGTTGCGAACGTGAAATGGAAAATGGTGACGTTTTCCAACACAAGTTGACTTTAATCTGGCGCTTCTTGACTTGTAGAGGAAACCAAAAACCGACTGTTATCTGATAACCCCAACTGTGATAAAATTAATTTGGCGTGTTATGTACATTTAGTACGCCGAGTTTTGTTATGATTTTCTTCATTGATTAAATGTTTTCCTTTTCCAGTTTTCAGAGACTGTTTAGAGGATGGTGAGTGGGGCGATATTGACAAGATAGAGCCACAGGAATGCCTTGCCGATACAGTAAGTTTAACCACATTACAGACCTGTCGGGACCTGGTTTTGGGACCTTTACAAATAACCCTTCCGTCAAACAGCAAAATTCTGTCAAAAAAATTAAATAGTATACAGTTGTACCCCCTCGTCGGAGTGCACCAACCGGGCTGCGGTACGGTCCCACTCGCTCTCTGCTCGCACTGCCGGGTGTAGGACGCACGCGCATAGTCATTCCAAAATATGTCTGAAAGCCACATGACCTATTTCTTTTTCAACTAAAAAGCTTGACAATTTTTTTCTCACTTTTGCCTCAGGTTATCAAGATATTAGCCTTCATCGGCTTTGGCGTGTCACTAGTTGCTTGCGGGACAGCATTTGCCATCTTCATGATGACAAGGTAAGAATAAGTGTTTACTTGTAAACAAATAAGAAACGTTACAAATAAAACTTGGGTTTTTTTCATTGCCTTTGCCCTTTTCAAATTATTTTTGTCACACTTGAGAATGTACGTGGAGCACACATGACTGGTTTTCAGTAAAATTTGAACAAACCTGCGTCTTTACGAGTGCGCCGGGCTACATACGTCCGTCCTGTCGCTCTTTGTCATTGCTAAGAATATCCTCGAGTATATGGTGGCCGGCGCCATGCATATGCCTCTTGAAACACCTGCGTAAGAAGGCCGTGTGCGCTCTGCCGCTCTGCTAGTCGCACTGTATGAATACATTTGTATTTCAATAACACAACCTTACTCTGCAACATTTTAGTCTATCGTGGAAGTCAATCTGTATTCAGTCTCTCTTCCCACTTAAATCCTTGTAACAGCAGTGCAAACGGTGCCACGTTCTATTTCAAAAAGTGCAATTGATTATGAAGAACGGTTTATTGAAATTGTTTCAACTGGTTTCCTCAATCCCTGCATTGCGCCTCAGGGGGAAAAATGTCGAAACTGCGTTTGATTTGTTACCTGTGAAACTTGTTTGACGCATTTCTGCATAACAAATTGATTCCGCCCAAAGTCTGCTGCTGCACAAATACCCAGAGAGTTGATTTCGTAAAATAATTTGAAATACTGTGTGGCTGGACATATGCACCGCAGTTTGAGTGTAAGAGTCATTTTAACTTTGGGAGATATGGCTGAAATGTAGGTGTCACTTTTTGTTAAAGCAAGTGATTGAAAGAGATTTCACCCTCCTTTTCGCCAACCACTGACATGCTTTAGCATGTTCATGTAAAAACCCTGGGCCGTTTTCCAATACTCAACTTCCTCTCCGTCTCAGGCTTCGTTCCCAAAACCAATCCCTGATTGTGGACCTGAAGCGTTTAAATTCGATTGGATTACTGTAATTTTTGGCTTTCTTGCATCTTATTTGATGCTTTGTGGCACTATTCGACTGATTACTGCGCCTATAGCTTCAAAGGCAGCTAGTTAAAAATCAGTTTAAGCCTGAGACGGAGCCGAAGTTGAGTACTGGAAAACGGCCATGAATTTACTTTAAGTCCTCTTTCAGAAACTATTTGTTGACCCTCTTTGTAGATCTTCACTTCGCGGACTCAGGCACTACCAGTATCACATCCACTGGAATCTTATCGCTTCCTTCATACTCTACCCAGTCGTGTTGCTTGTTAGCCTTGGCGTTTTCAGCCAGACGGCCTGCATTCAAGAACATTTGGTTAGAAAATTTGGTGTGGTGTTGCTATTTACTTGGTGATTCCGAAAAACGTCAACAATTAACCGCAGGCTCCTCACTTGTAAAGCACAAACTCTTTTTTAACAACATGAATTCGGGGTTGCACAACGTTCCTGCCATAATTTGTTGCCTCAAAGTTTGTCATATTCAAAGAAGCAATGCTCCTATCCCTTCAATGGACGTTGAGAGTTGTGTATTAACATAATCAGGTAACATATTAACATATTACATCTGCGTGTTTGGAATATATTTTGAGTTGAAATCCTTTACCACATTATATAGATGAAGAATTGAATGGTACAAAACTGTCCAAGTCTCACTAATTCCTCACTTTCATTTCACCCTGACCATTGTATATTGGAGATCCTTTGGCAAACGCTCGCTTTTTTTCTGCAACAACACTCAACAACCAGAGTGACATTTTGTCCCACAGTGGCTGTGCAATCTCCTTTCCGCCTTACTGGCTTACTTCGTCCTGGCTAATTTTTTCTGGATGCTGGTGGAAGGTCTAGTCCTCTTCGTCCTTGTGGCCACCGCCTTCCCCGGATCACAGCGCGGCAAGGCGTTCGTGAAGTGGTGCTTCATCGGATGGGGTGAGTCACTTGTACCCTCCCCCCTTCGAATATTTGCCCCTACATGGTGATCCTTTCAACTGTGGTTTGTAAGGCATGTTTGAGTACCGGTATGCTGTTTTATATGCGTAGGTCATTTACCACTTCACTATTCAAAGGCAGACTTGAGATCGAGTCGTTTAAATGGTACCACAAACTGTAAACCTGACCATCATCTACCAGTCCCTCGTAAAGTATTGATAGGCAATTTTATAAACGATTATAGCAGGAATGAAACAATAAATCCAGTGGTAAGCTGTGGCACTGCTCGATCTTATGTAATTCTGATCGAACAGACTACCGACTTTATTGATGGAACTGGGCGGGAGGGTGTTCACGGAAAGACCGTCAATATCAACCTCTGCAAGGGTTCGGGCGTTCTATACTGTTTGGGATCTTTCACTCTAGAAAATATGTCATCACACCTGGCTAGACCACGTCGCATCGTTGTCCGTTGGCTTCATTTTCTTTGGGAAAAATACCCCGATGCCATGAACGGTAAAGAAATAACTGTATTATCCTGATGGGAAATAGACAAGGCCCAATATACTACAGAGGTATAGTACTTTGGCTCTTCCCCTTAAAGGATTTCGTCTGACGATTTCATTCAAGACCATTGAAATAAATTCCATGTGTAAATCGCTGGATATATGTTTCCCCGGCATGTAACAACTCTTTCTTTACAACAGGTATTCCTGCCGTTCTTGTGACTGCTTGGATTGTTGTTGAGAGAGTAACGACAGAAAAAGACAGGTGGGCAATAGAAGTGTACAGAAATCACAGACGGGCAATATGGGGCGCCTGTAAGGGGAAAATTGAAACCACTTTCTTGTAGAAAAATTACCGAGTAATTGTGTTTGCCCATAGCATTATCCCTTCAATATGCTTTGTGATAAGACAGTTTTGAAATAACTACCGTTTTATCCTTTCCTCCACCAGCTATTTTGTTTTGAAATTGGATTCAGACGAAGGTCCAAACTTATACTGTTTGATAGTGCCGATCTTTGCTGCTTTAGTGGTGAGTTATGAAATATGACGACTGTGTGATTTCTGGGGTAAAAAGGCATATATTCATGTCAGAGTTGTATATTCCTAAAATGAGAAGCTTTTCTGACCATTGTGGCTTGTGTCCTAGTCTTAACGCGCAAACAACTTTTTAATTTTTTTTTCAGGTTAACGGAATCGTCTTAGTGGTTGTCATGAGAATACTCTGGCTGAAATTGCGAGATGATGCCCGGAATACCCTTCGGTATTCGAACGAGAAATCATCGTGGTAAGTACCAAAATGCATTGTTACGAGTGCTCCTGATTTCAATACTTCTGAAAAAAGTACCATAAGAACTTTATACATGGGCAAGTTTGAGCGACCAATATAGGTCGAGCGGTGGTCAAATGCGCACGCGCAATACGGTCCCACTCGAATGACCCCAGTCGAACTTTAAAATGCTACTGATGATGCAACCGTGCCCAGGGCCTGGTCCCAAAATGGTCGACCTGATAGCTTAACTATTTAAGTGACATTGGCGCTAGGATTTCAGTTAGCTTGCAGGAGAGAAAACCCGGGAAAGGATACACTTTCTAACCGAATTAGTGCTTTTTGGGGGGCAAAATATGTGCTAACGATCTGGCTTTGAAAGGATAATATCCAAATAACTTCAAATGCCACATCGTTTCCTTTCCGCCAGGTCGCACTGACAACAGAAATCTCTTTTGTGTCGGGGCAGATTACAGGTTGTTACAGAATTGAACTTGTCACCCTGTCTAGGTAGTTCTTTATCCCAATAAGGCAGATATATTACCATTCGTGATCACAAAGTCAATATTTGCCGTAGCGAATGTGCAGTGTGTGTAGGCCTCAATCTCAGCAGCGTGTCGGTGCCTTTTCTCGGTTCCCAATGTGTGTCCTGAGGTTTGCAATACTTGTTCACTGGGTCTATCTAATCTATGACGGAAGTATACTTTTCAGCTTTTGTACAACAGCTGTGCCATTCCTGTGGCCCGATGGTTAAAGTTTGTTACACAAATAATAGGGTCAGGGATTCGAATCCAGCAGATGGTTATAATGCTGTAACCTTGGGCGAGCTGCTTTACTCCCAATTGCCTCTCTCCATCCAGGAGTATAAATGTGTTCCTTCTGGTGTTGAGAAGGTGGTTGTGTTTGATTTGTGCCACACTTAGCAGTATGGAGCTGAATACATGTATTCCCTAAAGAGCTAAGTTGGTTTCGGGAATGTTTGTGGTCTGGTGAGCTGGAATGATAACAAGCGCCGTGTTTCTCTCCGTAATTTAGCGCTATACAGTCATTATTATTAATTATTATAATACCAATTTCTTTCTTGAATTTTTTTTCCAGGCGGGCGGCCAAGTCCACCTTTGTGATCCTGGTCTTACTGGGTGTCTACTTCGCGCTGCCCATCTTGGTTTTTCGATTGAATCCTCCGTTCCTCGTTCAATGGGTGATCAGCAAGATTAGCCACATCGTCAATTCGCTCCAAGGTCTGGCCGTGTGCACGCTCTATGTCTTCTGTAATGCCGAGGTACGTGAACAGGTAGGGGCATTATTGTGATGATAGGTCCGCCTCCAATTGATCTGGTGTGGAAGTTTGCCCTACCCCACCGTAGGACTAATTTATTCGAAAAAAAATTTCAAATCCGGCCTGTGTTCTTTGACACGATGAAATCATCACCATGACCACAATACTTTGACCACTTACCAGGTGTCCTGTTCTACCATACAATATTGGCAGCTCTTTCAACTCTAAATAACGCAGGTCAGACGCGCCGTCCGAAACCTCAGACGACGATACCGGAGCACCAACGTGACCTACTCCACGCGCCTGTCGTCACCTAGCTCCAGCCGGAGCGCCACCCCGCGGCACAGCAAGTCGCACTCGTCCAGCGAGGGCAGCGCCACCAAACGGCCAAGCACCACCTGGACCGGGGAGGCGGTGGAAATCGAGATGGCGGCGGTGGCCGATCCCGAGGAGAATCCACAGCCCCGGCGGCAAACGTGCGTGGTAATGGAGCCGCTGGTCGAGGATCCCAGCGAGTCTATCCGGGGCGATCCCGCACCTGCCGATGTGTAGAAGGCGAAATTCGTACCGAAGATTCTGAATACTCAGGCCAAACCAAAAAAAATAGTTGTGTTACCTGTTAAATTGAAAAAATAGGGGTTGGTACTTATAGATATGTTTTAGTTTATTTTTTCTAGTTTATGTTTCATTTCTGATATATAATAATAGGATGGTGGTCAGTCATTATTTGTTGTTGGAAAATGGCTGAATTTAGGGAGTACGTGACTGTGAGCAGCAAATGCACAAGAACAAGTCACTCTGTCAAACTGATTAGCTCGTTACAAAAGGTAGGCCTATAGGAAGTACAGGATATTATATTTTAAATGCTCTGCAGGATTGGCACCTGAATTTTTGTGTTTAATTTTTAACAAATTTTTCGGTGACATTGTCAACATGATTTTTCAGGTAGCGTTGGGTAACCGAAAACACTACCATTTTTCGGTTTGACCCAACCGCTACAGTGGCTCAGCCGTTCTTCAGTGGCTCAGGAGCTTTCGTAGGACATATGAGTGGCTGGGCCGAAGGCCATGTAGAGGTTTCATCAGTCTTAGTGGCAAATCCAGGGCATTTCTCGGGGGAGAATTAAGAAATTGTTCCCATCAACGATTTTCTAATGTTATATTGAAAGAATCCTCCTCTCCCCCAAAAAAAATTATGTAAATATATAAAGTTGGCAAATCTGTCCCTGAAGGGTTGGCACTTTTAATTCTCAAAAAAGAATTAAAAGACGTAAAAACAAACTTTGCAACGTGACCCCGGGGGCAACTCCCCAAACTGCTTGGATACACCACTGTTCTCAATTGTTTAGGAAAGATAAAAACTACTGCAAACTGCTCCCCAAGAAACAGTGAACTAAAATACATCAACGTGAAAGGTTAAAAAGTCCAACATTCCACATCTTTCAGTCTTTCCCGGCTCTTTCTTTCCAGTCGTAATGGAAAATCACTCGAACCTTTACTTTTGCCTCGTGCCAATGTATATTTAAGCAGCCTTGAAGATCGTTGCTGTAACATGATTCCACGCCCGTCAAGGGCAAAATGGAGTCGACGTGCAGCATATATTATTCTGTCCAACACCACACACTGCACCCAGTTCATCTTGCGACTGTTTTTATTGAAGGATGTAAAGGTGTTTTTATTGAAGGATGTAAAGGTCTTCTGAATGGATTTTAAATAACCAGCCACTTACATGTATGAGATATTTCTGCTATTTTTTTTACGGGAATGTCAAAGGTAGGTAACATATATTAATCTAACGGTTATTTTATTATACACATGTAAATGCATATATTTTTATAAATAAAACTTTTACAAACAGGGATTTTTCATTATCTAGGTTGTTCTTGTTATGTTAACTTTTAATAGCAAATAAACGTTTTACCGTCTACCTTTTCGTTATTATGCATTGTACTTATCGAAAGTCTGATGCAGCTTGCAGTCCTGAAGGATAATTGTTCGATGATATACCCATGGGCCATGGCCATAGTGTGCTGTATGAAAATTTATTTTTCATAAACAGTGTTGCGTTTTGTTGCATTAATAACATTTGTTACAGCCAGAAACTGTAATACGTTTCTTCAATTGTTTATTTACAGTCACTTGCAAAGGGTTAGACCTCCTGGAATTTTATTGGTATTTCTGTCACTGGGCCTGCACAACGTTGTCTCATTGAATGATTAATTTTTAATTTTGTTGCAAAGGCAGGTCTTGTATGATATTTTGTCTGTATGGCAGCATGTGTTAAAAAGCCAGTTTAAGTAAGCAGAAATGAAGGGGGGCAAACATTAATTAACATTTCATTTTTTGCCGTGTAACCAAGACACTATGGCTACGCATTGAAAATGGACATAAGTTGCCTTGACTGATTGGTTTAAGTTTGGTTTGTCTTCAGGTTAATGCATTTTGTATGGTCTAAACATCTGCGAGTGACTGCAGTCATTCATCCTACTCGAAAGCACGTCACCAGTTTCATTCCTTCATCCATACGGAAGAGCTTTCGTGTTTATATATTGAAGCTTTGTTAACTTTCCTTCAAGCGATGACATTATAATAAAACTTTGTTATTCCGTCGAGTAATCTTCCTGCTAAGCCGTAAAAAGTAGGCAAGTTATTTAGGGATAAAGTGTTGTAACTACTTTCAACAATATTTTCAACCATTATTTCTACAGTATTATTACAGATTAGTTTTAAAATGCGTCGTTGCAACCGTTACTTACTTCTTCACTTCTAAAACTAGTATAGCTTTGACAAAGGGTGCAGTGTCATCTGATTTGTACATAGAATCTTGACGAAACTTGGGCCAAACACCCAGAGTGAAAGCCCATTTCGCTTTTACCACGATTTGCAAGCCAAAATTGGTGTTAAAATATTTATGAATAAGTACAGAAAAATAAAAGAGTTTTTCTATGTTCTATCATAAAGTTCTAAACTGTCAAATTCATTACGTCGGTGATTACCCCCCACCCAAACTTACCTGTTTTACCTACAAAGTGTGGACATTCCTTTGTTCTCCAGTGGTTAAAGAAACTTGAGGAAAATGCTCCCTTTTCTCTAACTATATAGGATAACTTCTTCGAGCTGGATTCTTAATGATGATTCCCTGGATTCCTCTTCGATTTGCCACAGATAACCTTGACCCAAAAATGCCTCTGAAAGTGTTTTTCAGAGAGGGGAAACATTGTGTGGACGTGTGCGAGTCCACACTACGCCTTCGCAAGCTACATTGTGCGGACTTCTTTTGTGCAGAGGTCCACGCTATGTATGCCACGCCTGCACACCCACCCGCACATTAAAACAGACAGTTTATGTTTGCCCTAGTGTGTGAATATTCCTTTGTTTTTGTATATAGCTAAGGAAACTTGTTGAAAGTACTTATTTTTATTTGAACACTCTCGTAAACTGGATTTTTGTTTTTGGTTTCCTTTATACCGTTCCTTTCTGTTAAATGTAATGACCCTCACGCAAAATACCGATAAACCTATTTTCCAAATAGAGGATAGCCTTGTGCGGACCTTGCTAGGTCTACACAAGGTTCGAACAACCTGCATTATGACCTTTTATACTCAGGTGCTCAGAAAGAGGATGGCAATATTGGGACGTGTTGTCGGGAATTTTGCGTGCGCGTTTCTCCAATTGCCCTCGATGGGATGCATTTCCTTAGTCAGAATATGGGGGTTTTTCTTCTGCTTGGTCTCAAGTATAATCACTATGCACTCCCGATCGAATCCTAAATGCGCATGGGAACAATTTCTATCCCGTTATTACTCAACTGAAAGCAATATGCAGGCTGGATCATTTCCTAGCATGAATGACAATAAAGTCCATGGAAAGGCTTATGTATCCATCCTCACAAGTGCTCTGAAAGTGAGCAAGGGCCCACTTCCATAGATCATCCAAGTATTCAGCTACTTCGGGCTGTGGTATCCTTCCTGTTTGTCCCAGAACAGTCTTCAGATATGCTGTCGAAGAAACACAAATAGAAGTGATACTGTAAGTCACCAAATGCTTGCTTTAGATAAGCCGCCTTTCAAATAGAAGCGATTCTGTAAGTCCCCGAATGCTTGCTTCAGATAAGCCGCCTTCCAACATTATAGTGTTGACATTTTGCTTACATTAATAAACATTTAGGCACGGGTAAAGTGTCGACTGTCTGATAGTTTAAACCATGGCCTTGGTACCGTACAATCACAGTGTGGTAATTAATCTTCTCACTAATGAGATGACCACTGATCACGTGCTTTCGGCGATATACTTCAAATCATTGGTTATCTTGATCAATTTTTGATGAGCGAATAAAGTGTTGTGAGAATATTTTCAGCAATGAGGTAGAAAAAGAAAATTCGAATTGATAACTGCCGCTTGTGTAACGCATTGAGCGAGCTCGCGCGCCTAGCAGAAATTTACCCACAATGCTTTGCGTGTCTTTAGCTGTGACCCCGTGTGACATATTTCCTTCACTAAAATTTGTGCAAGGCCGTCAGCCCTTCCCAATGCCATGTTCGGGCGTAGGGCGAAGAGCAAAACACGGCTTTAGAAGTACAGACGTCACAAAGCCTTGTGGGTAAGGCTGCAGCCTGATGTACAGTCTCGGGACAGGCCAAGGGTCCAACGGCAATAACAAAGTTTTTGCTCGGTCTAGGGTGAGGTCACTGCTCATATGCTGCTAGCCATAAAGACAGAGCGCACCGACATGGACGGATGATAGACTAACATTTCAGTCGTGCTTCAGACATGTGTAGCTCGTGCGTGCGAATTTCACACTCGGCACTGGACCAACCGCAGGCCGAGAACAGCTCTTGGGTTCCTCGAACGGAGCGGTTCCACACGTGATAGGTTGATCTGAACCCCTGTAATGCAAACAAGTTCAAGCAGTAACAGTTTTAGAGTGACCGGATTGATGGTACTACGCTGGTAGAAGAATGTCCCGAAATTGATCAATGGACTCGAAGCGCAGAATGACAAGTGTACAGCCCCAAACGGACTGATCCTAATTATAAATGTAAGGGCAGCAAAAGCAGCTTAGATAAAATGTTCTCGAGCACATTGAAATGTACAACCATTTTTATCGCTGATTATACCATGTAAATTCTCTTAGACCTGAGAAGTAATGTTGTTAAACTGTGGGCAAGTTCGATCAGCGACAAATTGTCAACCAATGGTCGATTTTGACTGGTAACCTTTGTATGAAATATAGACCGGGCACCAGGCCAAATCGACAAGTGGTTTAATAAAAAATCCTCGCTTATCGAATTTTTCCTGTGTTTACGCGTGTGCTTTCTCCTGGTAGCCGTCCAACAAGAAGGCACACGTGTAAACAGATGAGTGACGTCATTACGTGTATAGGACTTACGGAGGCACCAAATGCACCATTCTCCTGAGATTTTCTCATGGCATCATAGAGCAGAAATTAAATTTGCGCCCCCTTATGTAATTTATGTAATTACTATTACATAAACTCTAGCACAATTTATTACAAGAGCATTGTTGAAAAAACATGCACTCATAAACTTGTGCGAGACTTACAAATTGCCGGCGTTAAATTTTATTCAAGCAAGGTGAAACCTGAAAATACCCAAAGACCGGTTTATCTCAACTGATATTGATGGATGAAATTATTTCAGGCCTGTTTTGACCAAAACTGGTTTATGTTAACTTCTGGGGGCGAAAATTGAGCTAAAATTTTAATCAAAATTCTAATCCTCAACATTACCGGTGGAAGGGGGAATCGGATTTTTCACCCTTCCTTGTGTTGAAATTTCACCCAGGCAAATATTTCAGCAATTTGAAATATGTACATGAGCACCTTAACATAGCGACCCCACTTCTGGTGGTCAGCCAGGAATCGAGTTGCCTCCTCCACAATGTTCCGACGATCGCGGCATCGGATAATGCCTCCCCGTCGCTTTTTAGACAGGTATGGATGTTTCGGAGTGCCCCGATCACGTCGGAGACCCAGTGGATGACGAAAAAACAGACAGTTTTGTCGAATTTCTCTCACCATTCCGGGTTGTCCCCCGCGTTCTGGGCGTCTCCCTTGCAGTAATGCACATTGACTGCCGAGTTTTTCTGAACAGCAACGTGGATCATCTCGTCCGAAACGTCTATACCTGTGGCGAACACGGTCGAAACAGCTTCTTGTAAAACGCTGAAGATTTCACCGCATAGGTATAGGCCTATTAGTAGCGGAGGGGGTCAGTCTGGTACAGTCTGACCTTTGGCCTAGAAATAGGAAAAGGTCACATGGATATGCATAAACATAATAATTATGATCATAAGGATATGAGTAGAAATGAAGTGTAGGGTACCCCGCTTGTGGCCTACAGGCGTCTTCGCAACCTACGGGACCTTATTGTTTGGGCAGAGGTGCCCCCTTTGAATACCCTTCCCCCCTCCCAGCAAGGCACGTTCAAGTGTGATTCTAACAGATGTGTTGTTTGCCCGAACCATGTCCTGGAATCAGATAGATTCTCTGGACACTCCTCCGGTACCACCCACTGGACTAAAGGCACTATCACTTGTAGCTCTTCTAATGTCCTATATCTTATCTCTTGAAGGGTGTGCAGTGTTCCCCTCCTTCCTCCATGGTCGGAGAGACTAAGAACACTCTCAAGAAGCGTTTCTATGGCCACAGATCTACGGTCAACACCAAACGACTAGATACCCTTGTAGGCCACCACTTCAACCCTCCTAACCATTCTATGTCTGACATGATCTTACAAGGCATAGAATCACTTGAGTTCCGTAAAGATGCTGTTCGCTTCAACAGGGAAAAGCTTTGGATCAAATGCCTCCGCACCATACAACCCCATGGCCTGAACATCCAAGAGGGAAACTACTAATTAACGCTCTTTTCTTTCCCTGTCTTTTGTCTGCAGATTATACCCCCTC